CGCCCCGGGGTGACGGGCTGCCCAGCCCCCACCTCCTGCAAGGTATGGTGTAAACCCCCTCCCTCCAACCCTGGGGGGAGCCCCATGTCACCCTTCGGGGGACCCTCTGCTCCCTCAGGGTGCTGTGACATGCCGGGTGGGTGCAAGGAGGTGCCAGGTCAGCGCTGGGGTCAGCGCGGGCGATGGGGTGACCGAGAGGGGGGGAGGACAGGCGGGGGGGCATGCCTTTTTGTGTAGGACAGAGGACCGCAGGGGTGATTGCACCCGAGAGGTTCTGGAGCGTGACGGGCGTTTCGGGGGGCTGAGCAACGGCACAGGGGGTGCCCTGTGGGTGCTGCATCCCCGGGTCCCTCCTGAGCACCCGGCAGGGACTGTCTTCCCCTTTCATTAGCAGGCAGAAGGGGGGGTGCTCGGCCATGGGGCAGCCCCATAGGCAAGCGGGGAGCCTCGAGCACCTCTGTGGGCAGCAAGCAGCTGTTTGTGCTGTCCGCAGGTGCCAGCAAGGCCAGCCGGGCCACCGGCTGCTCCGGCGATGGACTCCCCAAGACTTGCATCCTGCTGTCGGAGATCGGGACCACGCTGCAGTCGGCACAGCGGGAGATCCTGCACGCTGCGGACACCCTGGCTACCACGGTGCGGGCTCCTGCTGGCCCCAGGCTGCCAGGGGGGCTAGTGGCCATGCTGCGGGGTAGTGGGATGTGCAGGACTGGTGGGGTGGGTTGTGACCTGCACTGTGGGTGAGTGGGAAAGACTGGGGTCCGCGTGGGTATAGCCCTCCTTGCAGCTGAGTCAAGAGGAGATATTTCCCTTGCTCACTCCTGTTTGCAAACCTCCTCCAGCCCTTCGGGAGGTTCTCATCGGTGCTGAGCTGGTGGGGTCCTGGGGGTCCCTGCTCCCCGCCGGCGTCTCACTGCTGCTGTTTGCATTTCAAGGAGATTCCCCAGGAAATCCCTCAGCAGCCCACAAACTGGAGCCGCTGGGCACTGGAGGCACGGGCACTGGCTGAGAGGTACGCTTGTAGCATAGACTCATAGAATGGTTTAGGTTGGAAGGGACCTTGAAGATCGTCAAGTTCCAACCCCAACCTGCTCTGCATGCACAGGCAGAGGAGGCTGCCTGCCTGGCTGGGGGTGCAGGATGACCACTCCTGTCCCAGAAGGCCAATCCTAATATCGTCTCTGTGGGTGCCCTTGTCCCTGCAGCCACAAGGACACCATGGTGCAGGTGGAGGCAGCGGTCGGGAGAGCCCTGCGTGCCTCCAACGCCAGCTCCCAGCTCCTGCGGAGTCTACTGGAGGGGAATGCGACGCGGGATGCGCAGCGTGAGCTGGAGACAGGGTGAGGGGATGGCAGCAAGGAGGTGGTGGGAGGGGACAGCAGCCCCTTGCCTCTGGCCAGGTCCCTTTTACAGGACTCAGTGGTGGTGGTCTGGCACCTGCCCAAGAGGGACATGACAGAGTCCCGTCAAACTCACTGCACCAGAGTGCTGAGAAGCAGAGAGCCGGAGTGCTCTGTGCTGGGGGTGTTTCGGGCCCTTTCCCCCAGCGTTTCCCCCCACAACCATGTCTGGGGGCCAGGTCCCAAACTGTCGGCTCTATAATTTGAGTGACTGGAGCACCCTGGGTGACCGCGGCGTTCTGTCCACATAGGTACGAGGAAATCCAGCGGGCGCGGGAGGAGCTGGGCACTGGCGTGGCAGAGGTGGCAGCGGAGGCCAGGAGAGCTTTCGCAGTCGTGCAGCAGGCAAACGCAGACATGGCCGAGAAACTTCTGCAGGTGGCTGCACTGGGGCAGGTGAGCAGCGTCCAAGCTAAGGCTCCTGCTTGCATCCCTACCCCCTGCTTCACCCGGTGGGCAGCGCTGCCTCCCGAGATGCTCTCATGGAGCCTTTGGCATCCCTGACCCCGCAGCAGGCGCTGCCGGTGCAGGCGGGGGGGGCGGGGCACGAAGCAGGCAGCAGAGGCGCAGGAGCCGTCAGCTCGGCAGGCTGTCGACGCGTCCCGTGCTCTGGCAGCCGGATTGCGCCAGGAGCTGCAGAGGACTCGCGGTTTCGAGCAGGTAATCGCTGCTCACTTGCGTGGGGTGTCCCTGTGATGGGGACCCCCTGTCGCAGCTGGAGCTGCGGGCATGCTGGGTGCACCCCTCTCCTGCCTCCCACCCGGGGCACAGGGGGGTGGGGGAGTCCCCCTGCCCGCTGCTCCGGTGACCGGAGGCACCGTGCCTGCAGCCAGGGGGTCGAGAGTGGATGTCTTGGGAGATATCTCCCCTAGGGTTCCCAGATCTCCCAAGGAGCTCGCCGACCAAACGGGAGCGGGCCGGGTCCCACATTTCCCAGCTGGGTGCAGCTCTTTGCCCCCTCCCCAACCTCACCCGTGCTCCCCTCTCCCCAGCTGCGGGACCGGGCTGGCTCTGCCCATGGCACGGCCACCTCAGCCGTCTCACATGGAAAAACCGTGCTCTCCGACGCAGAGTCCCTCCTGGCCAGCTTGGAAGGTAAAAGGCACCGGTCAGAGCATCTCTGGCCACAGCTCAGCTCTCATCACGCTGGCTATGGGTTCCAAGGGGAGAAAGGGACAGTTTGGTAACAGCCGGGCTGTCCCCGCAGGCATGAAGAAGGTGCTGGGGCATCGGAAGGGCCAGACTGCCCTGAGCAGGAGGATGGCACTTGTGCGGGACCGGGTGATGGTGGAGGCCCAGAGGAAGATTAAACAGGCAGAGAAAACACTGGGAAACTCCTTGTCCATCTCCACCGCAGCCCGGAGGATGGCTGGAGAGGCTGAGCAAGTCTCTGGGGAGAGCGCCAAGGTCCGAGTGGAGGGATGTGGGGTGTGGGGAGCCCACAGTGGGCTGCGGGGCACGGCCGGGCTGGCAGCCGTGGCAGGCAGAGCCCAGGCTGTTGGAGGGGAGGGCTGCAGAGTTCCCAAATTCTGCTGCCCCTCCAGCACAGCCCACCCTTGTCTGCGTGCAGACCCAGGGGGATGCACCCAACCAGGGCTCCAGCCCAGGGGCCAGCCGCAGTCCCCCTCTGTGTCCCCAGGTGACTGTCCCCATCTCCATCCCTTTGCAGAGGGCACAGGCTGTGCTGCAGGAGAGTAAGCAGGTCCGCAAGCATGCCCGCCAGCTCGCCTCACGTGCCAACGAGACCCAGCGGCAGCTCTCCCGGCAGGAGCACGTGGCTGAGAAGCTCAGGGGGGACCTGGAGGACGCACACCAGGTGAGTCGTGTCTCCTTGGGCAGGTTGTTTCCTCCAGAGCCTGGAAGGGGCTTTGCCCACAGCCCAAGGCATAGGGAGCAACCAAGCTTTTGGGCTCCACCATATGGTAAATGCCTTGGGGATATTCCTGGGATCCTGTCCCCTCTCCTGTCGAGTCAAGAATCAATGGTGTCCCTGATCTGGGTGTCTGTCTGTGTTGGAAGGTGGGGACAGAAGTGAGTGAGATGGCAAAAAGTCTCCAGGAAGCCCGGGGCTCGCTCATCTCGGACATTGAGACCCTGAACGACCTGCTGAGCAGCCTAGGTGAGACCCGGGCGGGAGCGGGGCGCAGGATCCTGGGGCCGGGCCAGGCTGTCGGGGCCCAGAGCTGTCCTGCTCGCCGGTGCTGGGTCTTCTGCCCACTGGCCATCCAGGCTGAGCTGGGTGCCCTGCGGCTGAGATCGCTCAGGGTCTCAGCAAAGCTTCATGAGGGCTCACGTCTCGAGGAAAACCCTCGTGCAGCATGAATTGGGGCATGCTGAATGCGTGTGCTCATGCCTGGTGTGGGGCCACTGATCTCCCTCAGCATCTCCAGGAGGAGCAGGGCTGAGTCAAGGGCTCAGTCCCTTTGGAGCCGAGGGATGTGCTGGGCTGGGTTCGCTCACGGTTGCTGGTTGGTTTTGCTCCAGCTCCTCCTGCTTTGATCATCTGGGTACATTTCTGAGTGTTCCAGAACTTCTTGCATCCGAGAAGTTTTGCAAAGGGCTGGAAATCATCACCCACCTGTAAGAGAGAGATGTTCCCAGGCCCTGCCTGGAGCCACGGTCCTGTTTACTTATCTGTGATCGCTGGGAAGCTGCAATGCCTCCATGCCCCGCTGCACCCACTCCCTGTAGTTTGCCTGGTGCCGAGGGTCTGAGCCCCTGGAGCGTGTCCAGACCCTCTCCTGCCCGGCTCTCTGCTTCTCATCCGTGTCCTCTCCCCTTGCCCAGGCAACCTGGAGCAGGATGTGCAGGCGGAGGCGGTGCTGAGCGCCGGGCGGCTGG